TTAAATATTTTCTTTAAAATAATGCCAGGCTTGGGACAGAGTTTAGTAGGAGCAGCGCCCTCTGGAGTCCTCACAGCCAAAAGTCCACAGGCACTCCCTGCCAGGGCCTAGAGCGCTCTTCTGTCTCCTTTTTCCCAGCCCATGGATTCCAAATGTGGCCCCCAAGCTCGCTCCTTTAGGCATCCTTCTGATGTCTCATGCCAGCACCGCTTGCCCAGTGGAGCCTGTTGCAGGGCAGATGCTGACCAGCTGGCCACCTGACACACCCAGAAATTCTGACTCAGCAGCTCGGGACCAGGCCCTGGGATTTGCGTTTAGACACCTGTTCCCAATGTGTTTGCTGCAGCACGAGTTCTCTGGAGATGAGCCTCTCCACGCATTCAAGGGAAGACTACAGTGGTTGGCAGCTTCTCACACAGGGGCCCTACAATTAGTAGTTTGGGTTTAAATAGAAATAAAGGATTCTCAGCCAAGGAAGCCCTTTATAATATCTGAAGACATTTAAAAAAATATTTTTTAATTGTTGCACATTTTCTTTCCCCTCCTATAGCCCATCTTGTTATGCACCCCTGTTTCCAGATTGTTGCCATATATAGAGCTCCTTTTGGACAGTTCTTCCTCTCATCTGTTCTAATGCAGTGTTCATCATCTATCCACTCTTTCCCCATTCTCTCTCCAAACCCCCCACTGAAGACATTTATAATGGTCATACGTAACAACATCAGGCATTGGCTTCTGGTGAGTGGAGGATGGGGATGCTGTTAAAACAATGTGCAATGCACAGAACGGCCCCCACAGCAAAGAATTAACCAACTCATAACAACAATAGAATAGTCAATGCCTTCAATTTATGAGACTGGAAAAGAGTATTGAATATACCATGAACTGCTAGAGAAGCACCTGTTGCAGAAAATCAAGGAATGTGGCTTTTGGTATGGTTCACATCTCAATGTCAAGAAAACAAAGATTCTTACCACTGACTACTAGGAAACATCATGATGGATGGAAAGAGATTGAAACTATCAACAACTTCATCTTACTTGGATCCGCAATTAATACCCTTGGTACTAGCAGTCAAGGAGACACATTGCCCTGGGAAAATCTGCACTTAGGGACCTCTCCAAATTATTGAGGAGTAATGATATCACTTTGAGGACTAAGGTTTGTCTGATTCAGGGCATATTTTTCCAATCACTTGTGCATCTGAAAGCTGGACAATGGATGATAGAAAAGAATTGATGTCTTTGAGCTGTGGTGTTGGAGAGGAGCACTGAACATCCCATGGACGGCCAAGAGAACAGATACGTCTTGGAGAGGTTGCAGCCAGGGTGCTCTTTGGAGGATAGAATGCCTCACATACTTTGGACATGTTGCTAGGAGGTGCTATTCTTTGGAGAGGGACATAATTCCAGGAAGGGTGGAGGGTCGATGAAGAAGTTCTCAACCAGGTGGACTGACATGACTGTTTCAACAGGCTCTTGTGTGTCAGGAAGTATGAGGATGACACAGGATAGAACAGAGTTCAGATCTTTTGTTCATGGGGTGCTATGAGTCGTACTCGAATCAACAGCATCTAATAACAACAGGAGCAGCTAAGAGAACAAACATGTTCCTCCTGGGGAGGGTGAAATCAGGCTGCTCCTTGGAGGCAAGGATTTTGAAGCTCTACCTGATATACTTCGGGCATGTCGCAAGGAGGGACCGGTCCTTGAGGAGGGGTAATATGCTTGGAAGGGTGGAGGGACAGAACAAGAGAGGAAGACCCTGGATGAGATGAACTGACTCAGTGACTGGGGTAATGGGGATTAGGTGTGCCAGGGACAATGAAGTTGGCTCAAGAAAGAGCAGGGTTCAGAGCTGTAGTACATAATAAGGTCACTATGAGTAGCAAGCAGCTTGAGGGCACATAACAACAATACCAGTAGTACCAAGGATATGAAACATTGTATGTACATGAAAGATTACAATCCAAAGTCTCAAATCTTCAGAGAGGCTGTGAGAAGACAAGCCAGAAACTGGAGAAAGCACAGGGGCCAATTCTGGTACAACCACTGACTTCATGCAAGTGACATCTCTGGTCAGTCAGTACAGCATGGGGATAACGATGCTCATTTGGATGTTGTCATCAAGAACAACAGGGTCACACATCACTGAGTAATATGCACATCTGTTTTTACCTTTTTACATTTAAAAAATTTGAGATGAGTCTTACAAATATACCATAGCACAGACAGTCCCTATCGGTGATTCTGTGATTGGAGTGGTGCGAATAAGTGTGTTTGAGAAGGCGAGGTTGGCATAGGATAGAACAGAGTTTAGGGCTCTTGTACATAGTGTCACTATGAGTCGCAAGCGACTCGATGGCACATAACAACAACAACATAGGTAGTTTTAGTGATCTAGTGTGTAAGAAGCTGCAGTGTCAAACCAAAGGCAAGAGGTTCGAATCCATCAGCTGCTCTGAAGTAGAAAGATGGGCAATCTCCTCCCATGGCGTTCACAGCCTCTGAAAATCTGCTTGGAGGGTCAGCTAAAGTCAGTTCCAACTTGGCAGCATATTAACAACAACAAAAAGATGGCAAAAATGGTTTGCACTCCACCCAAAAGATAACGCGCCAGTGTAGAGTGGGTCCTAAACCTTACCATTTCTGAGTTACTTAAAAAAAAAACAAACAACCCAAGAATGTTGTTGTTGTTATGTGCCGTCGAGTCATTTGCGACTCATAGCGACCCTATATACAACAGCCCTAAACCCTGCTCTATCCTGTGCCAATCGCATGGCTTCTGACACACCCATCCCGATTACCCCAGTCTCTGAATCAATCCACCTCACAGAGGGTCTTCCCCTCCTGGACTGTCCCTCCACCCTACCAAGCATGATGTCCCGCTCCAAGAACCTGTCTCTCCTTACAACATGTCCAAAGTATGTCAGACGAAGCCCAGAATCCTTGCCTCCAAGGAGTTGCTTGATTTAATCCTCTCCAGGATGAATTTGTTTGTTTTCTTGGCAGTCCATGGTACATTCAATACTCTTCTCCAGCACCACAGCTCAAAGGCATCAATTCTCCTTCTATCTTTCCTAGTCTTTGTCCAACTCTCTGATGCATAACAAGTGATTGCAAAGACCATGGCCTGTATAAGGAGCACTTTAGTCTCCAGAATAGACACAGAGAATGAGAGAATACAGACAGACATCATGTGAAAAAGGTCTACCAGCTGAGCAATCAAGGAAGCTCTGGGTGATGAAAACACACAGTATCCTCTCCTTTAACTTGCATGAATATACAACACTGGAGAGAAGTGGTGGTGGGTGCTCATGTTGAGGGGAAGTCCTGAAGTCCACACGTGCAGACCCTGGCCCATGAGTCATAGCTGCCCCCACAGCACACCCCAATCCTGTATACGCAGAAGGGGTGCACGGCACTAACACAAAACCTGCGAGAGCTCAGGAAAATGAGATGAGGGAGGGAAAGGGAATTGGCTTTGATTCTGTTCTCAAGTAGAAGCCACAACCTCCATGAACATTTCACCTAGAACATGAATACCTTACTTACCAAAACTTTCAGCATCTTCTGAATATCTGACAGCCTTTAGTCGAAAATACCGGGCTTTTTTTGAAACTTTGTCCTTCGTGGTCCAGAGCTTCAAGCTGACTTTATGAAAGCTTATCTTCTTTAGTAACTCCTTTGTCACACTGATGGTAAATGTTTGGGTCCATGACACCCAGATTTTGTCCCCTTCGATCCATGGCTTCACGGTCTGTGTGAAGTAATGTTAAGAGACTTTAACTGTGTGAAGATAGAACAGACATTTGCAGATTTAAGTGACCCCCCCAACCCCCTTTTCACCAGTAAAGTCACGTCTCTGCTCTCCATTGGGTTCACAACTGCTATCGCCTGGCTCCAAATTTAGGTCAGAAGCTGGGGTATAATGCACAAGCCCAGTCAGAACTCTGAGTTCTGAACTGCAGAACCCAAAACTCTGGGTTCCTCAGAAAAAATAAAAGCAAGCAATCACCTGCAGACTGGGTCCTCTCTGAACACTTCCCACAGTGAACCACAGCCAAAACCCCCACCCCTGCAAGAGAGAGAGAGTGTGAGTGTGTGTGTGTGTGTGTGTGTGTGTGTGTGTGTGTGTGTGTGTGTGCTGGTGCACTCTTTCTCACACCCACAAGTTCATACACAGATGCACATACACATTCACCTCAAGCGCATGAGCACCTGCATGCATCCATAAACCTCAGGGGCTAAAAAGCCTTTAAAACAACAGAGAAATAAGTGGTAACAATATTGAAATGAAACATTCTGTGGGTTGATATTAGCAAGTCTGGAGTAGAACTACAAGGATGCATTCTTAACAAGCCCCCACGTGACCTGATGCTGGAGTTCACAGACCATACTTTGGGCAGCAAAGTCTATAGGCATCAGTCTGTATGTAATGTTAAACAGGTGTACACATGTGAATATACATGTACATACACACACCTTTACACTGGTCTCCAGGAACACTTTGGTCACAGCTGGAAACACCACCAGGTCAACCTTTCTAGGTTCTTTGTCATCAGGCAGAAGGTAATATTCAATGTGGTACAAACGTCGGACCCTTGTAGGAACTTTCTCTGCTTTATTCTGTTTTTGGTCTTTTTCAATCAAAGATGGATTCTCTCCTTTATAACCTAAAAGATAAAGATCAAGTTGTAACCGTGTGGAAAAGTAAACCTTTCTTCACAGTTCCTTGGAACCTAGACAGGAAGAAGAGATTGGAGGAGAATGCATGCTCCCACAGTGCTTGCCTGCCATGGGGCACAACAGACGGATCTAGTCCTCCTCCTATGCAGCTGTGCCAGGACTGTTGTTAGGTGCCCTTGAGTCAAGAACAACTTATTGGGACCTTATGAACCACCGACCTCATCCCTGTCCTGTCTTGTGCAATCCTCACAATCTCCGACACACTCAAGCTCACAGCTGTAGTCATTGTGTCAAACTGCCTGATTGTCTTTCTTTCTCCTTTGCTATCCCTCCATCTGTCCAAAGCACAATTTCCCTCTACAAGGAATAGTCTCTCCTAGCAACATGCTCAAAGTATGTGAGATAGAGCTTCATCTTGATTGCCTCCAAGGAGCACACTGGCTGCACTTTCTCCAAGACATAGCTGTTTGTTCTCTTGGCCTTCCATGGGAGCTCTAGCACTCTTCTCCAACACCACAGCTCAAAGGCATCAATCCTTCTTCTGTCAGCCTTGACTGGAGTGAGGCAAATGAGGCTCCTAGAATGAAAGACTGAGTGCATGACTCTGTGAGTGAGTCTTGGCCTTGAATAAGAAAAACTCAGTGCTGACAAGTCAGAACCAACTCACAGTTAACCCTCCACTGGGGCTCCCAGGTTGTAAATTGCACAGGAGGAGATGGTCCATCTTTCTCCCAAGCTGCTGGTGGATCTGAATTGCCAGAGTTGTGTGGCCTGCAGATTAAGAGTTCAACTCCCTATGGACAACGCCACCAGAACTTCCCCTGAGTAAGAGGTAGGTAATCACAGAACAATGAGATCTGTATAATGATAGTAGCATGGACAAGCTTCAGAAGCATTTCAGAAGAGGCAGGAATGACCTTCACCTGGGGATAGGAAGATGAGGCCTCCCAGGGGGACCTTAGCAAGCTTGTAGGAGTGATGTTGCCAGACTATACGGAGGAGACGTTTACGTTTCAAGCAGAGGGAACAGCTCAGCACAAATTTCAAGGAGGGAGCCACGCAATGTGGGGCGGCTGGACATAGGATGGAGAGGCCAGAGCCCACCTGTAAGTTTCATTGAGACCCACTGAGGCCTTTTCATGCCACCAGGAGATGCTACTGGTGTTCCACATTGAATCTTAATTTTATTCTATACAAATGTGACTATCCTTAAAATGGCAGTTTTTAAAAATTGCAAATCTTTTAACACACAAGAGTCCGCTTCAGCATTAATTTAGTGCTATGAGAATAATGAACTTGGGCACAGAACTTCTGACTAAAGCCGCTCCTGTTTTGGCAGGCATCAGGACTTGTTGAGAAGGTGGGGTTAATGATAGAGCCTGTGGATCTGCACTGAATCATGATCAGTCTGAATGAGGCCAGTAAGTGGGCAAGCCTTTCATGTTCTATTGATAGGTGAGCAAATCACAGGGATCCTTTTGGGGGGCAAGTTGACAATAACTATAAAAATTTTAAAATGCATACCTTAAACCTGGAAACTCAACATCTTGAAATTCAGGCTACAGAAGTGCTCACAAACATGCATGCAACACCACACCGAGTGATCTCCCCTGCAAAACTATAGCAGAACAATCTTGGAAACAACTTAAATACCACCAATAAGGGGCAAGAGAAATCAGAATGCAGCCATACAGTGGAACACTGCACAGCTGCTAAAAAGAAAACAATAATATTTCAAATTATGTGTTCACATCATGTAAAATATTTGAGATAGAGCATAAAATTAAAAAGCAAATTACTTTGAAAAACAAAATTGCAGAAGATAATGTGCAGGATGTCATTTATCTTTAAAAAATTCTAAAAATAAACACACATATGTCCATAAACAGTCAAGCACTGAAGGAAAATCATTGAGCCTAGAAGTTTTCTACCTAGCTAAGCTGTCATTCAAAGATGGGCATGATAAAAGTACTATAAGGCATTAAGGCTTCAAAAAATCCTATTACACAAGGTCTACTTTAAAAGAGTCTTTGGAGAAAGTACAAAAATAAGACAAATAATCCCTAAAGGATGCTACAAGAGACAAAAGAAGTAAAGGTGATGAAATTAGTATCCATTTTCTTTTGCCAGATGTTTTCTTCCAGGTTATTTTTAAAAATATTAATTGGCACAAACTATGGATCATAACAAGTTGTGACTGACATTGAGAAGAATGGAAATCCCAGAGCACTTAATTGTGCTCATATGAAACCTGTACCTGGACCAAGAGGCTATTGTGCGAACAGAGCAGGGGAACACTGCGTGGTTTAAAATTAAGAAGGGAGTGTGTCAGTGTTGTATTCTCTCTCCCTCCCTATTTCATCTGTATGCTGAGCAAATTATTTGAGAAGTTAGTCTCTATGAAAAAGAATGTGACATCAGGATTGGAGGGAGACTCATGGATAACCTACATTATGCAGATGATACAAACTTGCTTGCTGAAAGTGAGGACTTGAAGCGCTTGTTGCAGAAGATCAAGGAATGCAGCCTTTGGTATGGATTGCAGCTAAATGCCAAGAAAAGAAAGATTCTTACCACTGGACTGGTAGGCAGCGTCATGATGGATGGAGAGGAGATTGAAACTGTCAACAGCTTCATCTTGCTTGGATCCACAATTAACACCCTTGGTATGAGCCAGTCAGGAAATAAGGAGACACAATGCACTGGGAAAATCTGCAGTTAGGGACCTCTTCAAATTATTGAGGAGTAATGATGTCAGTTTGAGAACTAAGGTGCATCTGATTCAGCCTGTGGTCTTTCTAATCACTTGCCGTGCATCTTGCTATGACCCTTGACTGGAGGTTTCATCACATGACTAGTTTTTATGATAAAATATTAGCAGGTGGGATGTGTCCAGGGAAAAGAGTGACTGGACCTGCCTTCTCATGTACATTCCCCTTCTAGAATAAGAGTGTGTCTGGGCAGCCCAGTTTTGTAGGAGATACACGAAGCCAAGGCCTCAGAGACTGACCTGCCCAGCCAGGAGAGCAAAGGACTGCTCCTTGGAGTCACTGAGTTTGGAGGCTTTTTGGATTTGTTACACATTATTGGTGATAGTTGCCAATTACCTCTCTCATCCTCAGTTTTCCTATTCCTAAATTGAACCACTTGATCCCCTAAGTAAAGAATTTTCAAGCAGTTAGTAACATTTATCTAATGGCTTAGTGGTAAGGAATTGCAGTTGCCAAAGCAAAGGTATGCGGTTTGAATTCATCAGCTGCTCTGCAGGAAAAGGAGGAGCAATCTCCTCCTGTGCAAATTGTTGTTGTTGTTATTAGGTGCCATCGAATCGAGTACGACCCATAGTGACTCGATGAACAAAAGATTGAACTCTGATCCATCCTCTGCCATCTTCACAATTCCTGAAACACAAGACCCCATTTGGCAGTCTCTGTGTCACTCCACCTGGTTGGGGGTCTTCCTTTCCTTTGCTGACCCTTCACCCTTCCTAGCATCATGTCCTT